TGTAGTGAATTATTTATTCTATTGGTTTTTTTGAAGTTGCGCTGTGGTACCATAGTGGCATTTTACCTTTTGCTTCATTCGTAAGAGTTTGTGCATCAATCTTGAGGTTATTTCTTTAGCATATTTTGCTATTTGTATTAGTTCATTTGGAAGGTCAGTTTTCTTTGTGGTTGTATTCCATGTCTAGAGGAACATATTTGTTTTTATTTCATCATTTATTTTCCAATCTTTGTATGATACATTCATTGCATATAGGGCATGAGCAATATTTTGCCAGGTTGCATGGTTAGAGTTGTTGCATAGCAGTGATTTAAGTGTCATTAATGTAATTGCTTTATTCTAGAATGCAGGTCTAGTAGCTGTTTGCCTCCTTGGTCTTTTGGTTTATAGAGAGTCTCTAAGCTAACTGGTGGGGATCCTGTACTATTCCACATGAAGTTTCGTATTTTTTTGATGAGGATAGCCTCAATATGGTTGGGCATACCTTGGACTTTTGTTAAGAATTGTGTTCCATTTCCTATCACTAGTGGATAATATAGCTGCGTCCTTCTAATGTTGGATGGCTTTTATTCCATTAGCGCTAATAGAGTTGTCAATTTTTTCTATTATTGAGGGTCGGCATGAGATTGCAATCCTTGAATGCATTTCCAATCCAGCAGCCTAAGGAGTGTACTGCTTCACCATCCTGAGACTATATGTATTTTTGAGATATTTTGCTATCAAAGCTGTTTAGTTGTCTTGATTTGTAAAATGTTTCTCTGAATTCTTTAGTGCCAATTGGTATAACATTCAGTTTTGCTTATGTTAAATTTAGCTCTTGATGCTAGACACTATTTATTTAAGATTATTTGTAGTGTGTTAAAGAGTCAGTTTCTGATAAGTAAACAGTTGTATCAATCTGCAAATAATTTTGTGATGAGGTTGTTTACTGATCCTGGAATATGAATACCTTGAAGGTTGGAGTTATGTAGCATACATGCTAATGGTTCGATTGCAATATTAAACAGTAGGCATGATAAGGGATCACCTTGTTGTACTCCTCTAGTTATTATATATGGTTAACTTAGTTCTCCATTTATAATTACAATTGTTTTTGCTTGATTATAAAGTGATTTGACAGTGTTGATGAAGTGGTGGTGGATATTACATGCTGACATTGTTTCCTATAGATAGTCGTAAGCTATTTTGTCATATGCTTTTTCTTGATCAAGAGCAATAATTACCCTATTTTGTTCAGATGCTTCAGAGTATTGAATCATTAGTTTAGATAGCATTGTTTGATCAAATATGTTTCAGCCTTTAATAAATCCTGCTTGGTCTTCATGTATTATACTTGGTGCAATATTTGCGAGTTTTATTGCAAGTGTTTTAGTGAGTATTTTATAGTCACTGTTCAGTAGTGTTATTGGACAGTAATTAATGATGTTATTATGATCTTTATTTTTGTATATTGGGCACATCCATCCCATATTAAATTCTGTATTCTCAATAATATCATATTCTTCAATGTCATTAAATACTTTTGTTAGAGTTTTAACGATATTAAATGCATGTTTTCCTGCTAGTTTATCATCTTTATAGCATATAAGGAGTGTTTTTGCTAGCTCATTAGGGAGACCATCAATACCTGCTGCAACATCATTTGCAGCCATGTTTATTGCTTCTCAGACTTGATGTTGTTGTGTTTTTTTTCCTAGCTCTTGTTTTTGAGGTTCTGTTATCTTATTTTTGAGATTTTGTGCAATCTTTGTTATAGTTTCATTGCATATCAGATCATCTTCGGTAGCAGATATATCTGTTGTTTGTATGTTATTGTGGTAGTTTTTTGCAATTTCTACCATTTCTGCTGTCTTTCTTTTATATATTGGTTTGTCAGGTGATGAGCTAGGGTCTTTTAGTTCATATATAGTATCTCTTGGTTTCTTAGTTTTATTTAGATTAATCCAGTATTTACTTATTGTTTCACCATAGAGATGGTTTTTTACTTTAGACTTCATGTTCTTTGTATTGTATTTTTGTTTTTGAAGTTCAATAATTCTTTCTTGAATTAGTACTGCTGACAAGGTTTTTTCTTCATTATCTAGATTTTTATCATTCAGGGTCTGATCTAGTTGTCCTTCTAGCTGCATTATCTTTTAGGTCAGTTTAGGTACTGATATCCATGCTTGATTTCTAATTGTATTAGTCATTTGGGTTTTAAATTCTTTATAAAATGTTTGTGCATTTTTTGTTTCTGTTCAATTATTAAATTCTAGTTTCTCTATTTGTGTTTCTAGTTCTATTCCTAGATTTTGTATTTCTTCCATCATGCTTTTATTTTTTAATAGATATAATGGCATTGTCCATCTACCACGACCAATATATAGGGCCTTTAGATCAGTTAGTTCTACCAAAATCATTTTGTGGTCTGTTGGTATATGTGTTGTTTTTATATTCCAGTTTCAACATGAGGAGATGAGTTCATTAGCTATATATATGCAGTCAATTCTTGATTGAGATCCTGTTGGTATTTGCATATATGTAAATGCAGTTGAGGTTGGGTTTGTTTCATGCCAGCCATCTTTAAGTTGAAAAAGACATTTAAGTTCAGAGATAAAGAGTCGCGTGATTACATCCCCTGACAGGTACACCTGGGTATCCACCCGTGCATGGATGCAGAGGTTCAGGTCCAAGAATGCTCCATGGGTTGACAGGTACAGGTGGATGGTGGATGGTGGATATCCAAAAGGCTTGACAAGTGGACCACCAGGTCAACCCGCACAGCACCCGTAAAATAAGGAGAAATCTGAATAGAATTTATACAACAGAAATGTAGTATATAGAGTAACAGACTACTAGGTTAATCCCTGTCAAGCACTATAACCTCTGAACTAGTTGTACCATCAGTTGCATATCTGTTTTTTCCACCGTTATTAGGCCGTTTGTGTTTATCATTGAAATATGCAGAAACAAGATCTTGCGGAACAAGACCGGGATGCTTGAACCACGAGTTCAGGACTGTCTGGTCAATAGTCGACTCAGCAGAGAGATTGTGCCGGTGCTTCGTAACATTAAGCCCTCCATGAGAGAAGAGCTGCTCCACATCGGTTGAGGTAGCTGAAAAGCAAGATCAATCGATGACTTGGATGTTAATCAGTCAGACATACTGGGTGCAGACAAAAAATCTAATGCCATTTGCGCTAGTGCTCCCTTTGATGTTACTCGGATCACTTTGCCAGATGCATCACATTCATCGAGGAGGCTAGTCCAGTAGCGCAAAGGATCCTCAATGTCATCACTAATGGGGCCCTGAGATATTTACTCTTAGGGCATCCCCATCATCATCCACGATGCCCCTTCCGAGACAATTCAGGGAAGACATCATAAAATGATTTGCCTTTTTTCTAAGAACAGTATAAGAATAACGTTGTCATTGTAAAAGCAATACTTACCTGCTTCTCAGTGGTCACAGCCGCAATGTTTGTGGTTGGTAATACCGCTTCCAGACATCCCGAACAATTCATAGCAACGGTTGATCCATTCAGGTTCTCACTCCATGTTTCAGAAGTACTCCCATTTTGTACCAGGATGTAGATGAAAGATAATGTGGTGAGAAATCACATCGAGTAACACAAGAGCATGTACTCATGGCCATCCGGTACATAATAGAGTCATCTGTCTTTGAGTAATACTTACAAAGAACAGCCAGCCTCTAATTGCAGCTGCACGAACACCAGAGAATAAACTCCTCATTGGCGATGAAGTCCTCGAACTGTTGATGAGTGAAT